CACGTTTTACCGCGGGGCGAGCAAGCAGGCGGGCGTTAGTTCATTCGAACCGCGAAAATATTCCCGAACGCTGAACATGAAACTAAATCATCATTCACGCACTTTTTTTTTTTCTCAACTGATAAAGTTATTGTCGTTATTCGATTCCCATTTCGAACCTGCGTTATATAGTGTGGGCCAAAATGTTCGTGAGCTTTATTAAGTAGATTTTTCAGTACGCCCACGTCGTTACCGAATGTGACACAAGTTCGGCACTCCTCCTTTTGGGACGCCTCAGACGCTGGGTATAGACGCTAGACCCCTACCGAAGGAGAGGTACTGCCTGGGGGTCCAGCTTGGGCTTGCGCTTAATATTATTTGGAAACTATCCAGCTGAACGAACTTTTTGGCCAACCCTATACTTTCCAGAAAACTTCAATTTGCATTCATACTTTTCCAAAGGACATGTGTGCGTAAATAAATATAAAGAACCCGACTGGAATTCGAACTCGGCTCTCCGATTAGACGCTGTTTTTTTTTTCTCCCCTCCCCCATCTATGGGTTAAATAGCAAGACAGATAGGCTCCTTTAGACTTGATTTGGCAACAAGTCTACCACAGAAAGAAACCGAAACCTACTGCAGGAAAAATATTATGCCTGTATCGAAAGACCCCATGATCGCCCAAGGGTGTATCACGTATGTCACTGATTGACTGGACCTTGCAGAAATACCTTCACGTCAGGTAGCCGAGTCCGCACAGATGGCCTCCGATTGGGGATGTTCCCAAATAACTGAAGCACTGTTCATCTCTATTCGTGAACAGTAGTAGAGGTACAACATGGCCAGGTGTCAAAAGGGTTTGTTTTTATTTTTTTAAGTTTGAAGGATGAGACAGCCAAGGCAACTTGGGAGCCATATGTATGTACTTGGGAACACCCTTAATAAGAGACAGTTTTCAGCGGTCTGGTTTGGAGGTTAACACGCCAAAAAATCTTGATTTAGTTGCCCTTAGTAACCTTCTCTGACTTGTGGTGGTAGCATCCAAGTCTGTACTTCTTACATGGGTCACCAATGCAGATGAGAAGCCATTTTATCATGGTGAAGTTTGTATTCTTTATTATCTTATTATAATTTTGCTAGTTCCTTATTTAGCATAAACTTTACGCCTTGCAGATACCTAAGAAATAATGGACTATTCCGTATTGATCGCGAAAAAGGCCGTAAAGACGCTATTTGGTTTCAATGAGGAAAAGTAAGAAAGAAAGAAAAAAGGAGGAGACAACGCTCTAATGTGTTTAACGTCCGCTTTGAGATGGAAAAACTTTTTATTTGTCCTCTCTTCTCTAAATAATGACCTGCATTTATACATGACTAGCAGTAGAGCCCGGCGTTGCCCGGGGATGTAACAGTAAGAGATAGATCAAGTATCGACCATCATAAATACTGAAAAATAAAATTGACAAAGATTATTGTTTAAGGTTGACGGACACGCATGTCTTAATTAGTTTTTTGGGGTTTTTTTTGTTTTTTTTTTACGAATTGGTCAAACCCAAACTCAAACAAAAACATTGTTTTCAATCGTTATGAGTCTTTCGGTTGAATAGAATTTTATTATAAACAATTGTCTTGTAAATGGAATTTTTAAAGCATTCTGAATGTAAAAACAAAGAAAAATGTGTGCAAGACAATAAGAAACACTACCTGCCAAAAAAAAGGTGACGTTTTGTTGAAATCCGATGCCATATATAAACGAACACACACACACGCGCGCGCGCGCGCACAAACAAACAACCTGGGTTTTATAATAAGTATAACTCGATATGAGTTGTCCCCATTTCATTCTCGAAACAGCGATGCCTCTTAATCATGTTTTCAAATTGATTGCGTGCAAAAACAATTGTGTTTTTTCAATTTTTGGCGCTGTCAGAACCACCGCAAGGTAATTATACGTAGTCCTGTGAAGTTTTCTTGAAATAGGTTGAAAAATGTAGGAAATCCGATCCAATATATAAACGAACACACACACACACACACACACACACACAACCTGGGTTTTATAATGAGTATGATAGGTATTGCAATATTCTGTTAAAGTTCTTAAGCTCAAATATTTAACGATGCAATAGGGGAAATTCCACGGGTATCTTAAAGTCCTAGAGGTCGCAGGGAGATTATTCAATCATTAACATAAGAATTATGATTCATCACGCGTATTTCATGTCATTATTATTATTATTATTATTAATGATCATAACTGCGTATTCACACGTGACGTTAGCTATTTACTGGACTTTAGCCTTATTAATATGATTATTAATAAAGTCTCTGAGGCAATTCTCATCAAACAAACAAGCTACGCGCAAGAGAAAAATCATTAGTAGCCATTTTCAATGAGTAGATGAAAAAGCAGAGAAATGGAAAATGACGTAATTCATTAGCTACAAAGAGGCGCGTTTCTGCTAGGTTAGCAGGGAGGGCAGTGAACCAATTAAATAAAAATAAAAAAATAAATAGAGTCGCTTAATAAAAGATTCAGCTTCGCTCTGAAGTTTATTGAAACGAAATCCAATTGACTGAAAAAGAAAGAAAAACAGAATCGAAATGTATATACAACAAAGCATGCGTGCGAATGTGTTCATGCATCTCCACTCTCCACTATATATATATATATATATATATATATATATATATATAAAGTTTCAAATTAAAAATTAAAATGTTTTATTTTATGAAAGTATTTATTTATTTATATATATATTTGATATTTCAAATTGTCCTCAATTTTTCATCAGAAATAACTGTTTGTTACAAATAAATTAAAATTACTGTTTGTTAGCAAGTAGCGTCCTTCGCGAGACGCGGACGTCACGTGATATGGAACGTCACTGTTCGGATATTCCTAACTTAAATCTGTCATAAATATTTAAAAAAATTTAAATAAATATTTAAAAAAATATTTTATATATATATATATATATATATATATATATATATATATAGTTTATGAAAAACTAGGTAATTCGTATGGGTAGACCCAAGGAGGATAAAATCCAGAGAGCTCAATGTAAATCCAGAGTAATTAATTTAAATAAAAATATACCACTTTAAGGTTCCATGTTATAAATTATTTCACCGCACCCCTTTTAAAAGGACTGCGGATCATCAGACTTTACTTCCAAAGGTTGAAACGAAAAATGAAAAGCTTAAAGGGATCTGTTTTTATTTAACTATATATATATATATATATATATAATGAAAAAAATACAGAAAAAAAATTTGAATATGCATTATTAATGTTAAAATTTCGACGTCGGACGTTTCAGGTCTATTTAAGACCATCTTCATGGACATTTCATTTAAACATACTTAACATTATAACTTATAACAATTTAACACAAAAGACGATGGACATAAGAGGTTGAAGACAAAATGAAAAGATCAGCGTTCTGTTTAAATATGATCACGTAGTCGTCACGTTTGTTGTTAAGACGTATTCGAAGATGATTTCCAAAAATAAAATATCAAAAGTCGAATGAAAAATTTTATAAACAATTAAAGAAATATGTTGGAATACGTATATCAATTGGTTCTTATATCTTCAACAAGCTTGAAAGTCTTTTCCCGTTACAATGCAAATCCAAAGTGATTTTAAAAACGATGGAACAGTTCTAAAAACAGTTCGATAAAAATTCCATTCTTTACTTGATCAATAGATTCCCTCGTCCAAGCTTGAAATCTTCCACGTTATAAAGTAAATTCAGGTTTGTATATTTTCGCCCACGTGACGACTACGTGATCATATTTAAACAGAACGCTGATCTGTATAAAATTTCAGTTATCTGTCTGAATTAGTTGGGCTCTTATGTCCATCGTCTTTTGTGTTAAATTGTTATAAGTTATAATGTTAATTATGTTTAAATGAAAATGTCCATGAAGATGGTCTTAAATAGACCGAAACGTCCGACGTCGACTTTATTTTAACATTAATAATGCATATTCAGAATTTTGTTTTTTTCTGTATTTTTCTTTCATACTGTCGGATTTATATCCATATATTTGCTTACATATATATATATATATATATATATACACAAACACACACACACACACACACACACACACACACATATATATATATATATATATATATATATATATATATATATATATATTATTCCAGGATCATTTTCCAATTTATTCAAGATGATCTTCGCCCTTTCTAATCTTTTAACTTTCTGTCCTGGAGTAACAATGTGCCTCACACGTATCACGTACGATTTCATTTTCAAGTCTTTTTTCACTACTCTTTGGACTGTCATAGCTGAAACTCCTCTCTCACGTGCCAAACGTCTTAAGGATTGAGTTGGATCTTTTCTAACTGATCATTTTAGCACTAAGTTTAAGTGATGATCTCTCTTCCTGTTGTGACTTCCTGACTGTTTTCCTCTCTACTGTTCCCTCTTTAAAACTTATTCACCTCTCTTTTGAAAGTTGTTCAATCGACTTTGAAGAGGGAAGCCAGAGTTTGAATGTTGGTACCATTACTGAAGGCTTGAATGAACATTTTCCTCTCACTATTGCTCATTTGGGAAGACAGTGGGGCTGGCACAAAACCATTTTAACTTTTCTCTTTCGAGCTGAATAACTCAAATGGTTTTTCAGTGATTCTTATGACAAATGGTTGTCAAGATGGTTAAACGTGTTATCTGAAAACCTGGAAAAAAGAAACTGATTTAGTTTAGTGACTTTTTAGATATTAAACATCTTGTTGGATGGACAACTATGTTGTAACACGATTTGGACAATTTTGGTGTTACACCCGGTACACACACACACACACACACACACACACACATATATATATATACTTCGCATTCTCATCATAACTTTGCAACAAATTTGGGGATTAGTGGACAGGTTTAGGTCATGATAATAGTTGATTGCAACATTACAGAAATGTCACCACAACGTCACATATCTCCTAACCAAAATACAAACTTTCAAGAACGTTCCATGTCAGATGGGTATCTATCTATCTATCTATCTATCTATCTATGTTCATTTTTCTCCCTTTTTTAATTCTATCTATCTATCTATCTATCTATCTATCTATCTATCTATCTATCTATCTATCTCTATTAATTTCTCCCTCATTGACCGGCTGTGTTTTTACTTAGGTGCATCCGGGTTTTTTACTGATACTTATTAAATATAAGCATATTTCTCTGCAACGTTTAAAAGACAAGATTTTATTGCGCGAATCTTTCAAGTAGTCAAGATTTTTTAATCTGTATTTAATAGTTTTTTTTCCGAGGTATGCAATGTATAAAGAAGCTTTAAGGCCAATAGAGACTAAAAGTAACCTATTGTTATTATTGAAAAAAAAGGGAGGTAGTAGAAATATTCGGAATACATAATAAGGAAAGAAGGCTTGAAAAGTTTGACACTCACACGGTGAATCGAAGATAAGGCAGAAATGGAAAGCGTCGATTAAACCTACTTGACAAGTTTAAGCAAATGCATGGATGTGTTGTTGAAAGCAACAAAAGACAGAAAGCTGTGGAGGGCTATGATCACCCACGTTCTGAAAGAACATGGGGCATAGAGAAAGAGAGAGAAATTTGTCTGACACAAGTCTACATCCGTGGGATATTCACTGTAATAATCAGCAAGGCAAGCCTGTTCATTATTGCCCCATGTCCAGACGTCCAAAGTTAATTAAGACACAAATGTGAATAGGTGTGTGTATGTGTGTGAAAGAGAGAAACAGAGACTGAAACAAAAGGAAAGGGAAAGAGAGAGATAGAGAGAGAGAGGGGGAAGAGAGAGAGAGAGAGAGGGAAAGAAAGGGATATTGTCCCGTTCCGACATTGTTTTTCTCAGTAAATGATCTAAGTATTAGTTCCTGAAGAATGACTTGTATTTTAGCATTAAGAGCGAAACAACGCCATTCTTTTCTTGAATGTCTTACTCCATAAATAACAAATAGGATTTTCTTTTTACTATTTTATTTATTTTCCTGTTCATAATATTTCATTTAATCTTCTTCTCGGTGATTTTCTAATTTACTTGATTTTTCCTACATTACCAGTCATTATCGACACTGAGCGGGAGAAAGGATGAAAGAAAATTGTTCAAAACAGTCGACGACAGTTCATAGAACAGACACTCACCTCACCCGCCAACCAATCCAATCACCGTTCTAACAACCCCCACCCCCGCTCATTCTTCCCTGCTCCCTATTCGACTCTAACCACGTCGAACTCTTGATCGTTCGTTTAGAGAAAGATTTGCAGAACGCGCGAAAAATGGGGTGGCATTCGCAGGTTTTGGCGGGGATGGCCAATTGTGGGATCAGAATTTTTGCTGATGGGAGTCGAAATGGACTTCAATACTCTCCTCTCTCTCTCTCTCATTTCTCTACGTTCCCCCCCCCGTCTATCTCTCTCCCTCCTGCTCTCTCTTTATATATCTCTCATACAATCATTCAATCCTCGCCAAAGTACTTCATTCGCACAAATTTCTTATTGATTTAGTCGAGTGGACTCGACGATGCGGCCTTTATCAATCGCTAATTTCATCAAGAGATAATAATGTTTATGATTCATTTTGATTTTGTCCGTTCCCTGTGTATTGCTTTTCTCTTGTTTTAGTTCTTCTTGTTGTTGTGCTTGCGTTTTGTTATTGCAAAAGTCATGGCCTCTTTGCAAAGATTCCATTTTGTTTAAATGGCTTCTTCTCGCTCCAAAACATTTTTATTACCATTCATCATCATCACTATCGGCATTATAACCAATTGCTGTCATCATCACCGTCCAGAGCTTAAGTGAGATATAATTATCGCCATTAATATTTTGCCAATGTCACTTTTCTGATATCATGATCATTAAAATTATGGTTTGCTTTTCATATACACGATTTCTTCTTCGCGTTCCTCTTCCTTTTCTTCTTCTTCTTCTTCTTCTTCTTCTTCTTCTTCTTCTTCTTCTTCTTCTATTCTCCCTGCCTCAGTTTCTTCCCACATCCTCTTCTCCTGCTTCCCCCTCCTCCTATTCCTCCTCCACCTTCTTCTTCTTTCTCCTTCTTTCAACATCATCTTCTCCTTTTTCTCCTCCTCCACCTTCCTTCTTCTTCTCCTCCTTCTTCTTCTTCTTCTTTCAACATCATCTCCTTTTTCTCCTCCTCCTCCTTCTCCTCCTCCTCCTTCTTCTTCTTCTTCTTTCAACATCATCATTTCTTCTTTTCTCCTCCTCCTCCTCCTCCTTCTTCTTCCAGTTCTTCCTTCTTCTTCTCCCTTATTATTATTATTGCCTCAGTTTTTTCCCACATCCTCTTCTCCTGCTTCCCTCCTCCTAAAATTCCTCCTCCACAAATTCTTTTAAGTGATATTAAAACTTCTTCTCCTTCTTAAAGACTTCTTTCAACATCACGTTTCATTCTCTTTTTTGCTCCTCCTCCTCCTTCTTCTTCTCCTCCTCCTTCTTCTTCTTCTTTCAACATCATCTTCTCCTTTTTAAATAGCCGAGAAAATAACTCCTCCTCCTCCTTCTTCTTCTTTCAATTTACATCATCCTCCTCCTCCATAAATATAGCACACCTCCTTTATATATATATATATATATATATATATATATATATATATATATATATATATATATATATATATAAAAAGAAAGGCTATAGTCTTCTTCTTCTTCTTTTTCTTCTTCTTTTTTTAAATATTATTTTTTTACTTCTTCTTCTCTCAGGTTTTTCCAGTTTTAAAAATTAATTTTTTTCCTTTATGTTTTTTCGATGTTAAATCCACCAGAGACATTCTCTCTCAGTTCTTCTTTTTTCTCCTGTTTCCTTCTTTTCTTTTTCTTCTTCTTCTTCTTCTTGTTATTTATATATTCCAGTAATAGTTTTTATCTATATATCCTGACTTCTAACAATTTCTTAGGTGGGTGGGAATTATTATTATGGCTATTATTATTATTATTGTTATTATTGTTGAATAGTAAACGGTGACTTACATTGGAGCTTAAGGAATATCTTGTCAGTATTCCAGCATTATTATTATTATTATTTTTATCATTATTATTATTATTATTATTATTATTATTATTATATATTATTATTTTTACTTTCTGTTTAATATAAACAAAGGTCCCTTTTACTTGTGTTCGTATAAGTTTATTACCTGAGCGAGATCTATTATCAAGGTTTTTTGGTTTTTTAAACTGAATGTAGAGTTTCTTTCATGTTTATAAGCAAGGTAGTAAAAATTTGCATTCTCTTTTATAAAAAATCTGATATTAACGTGATATATTATATACTTATAGTGTTTATATTTTCTTTACCATTGAGAATACTTAAAGACGTTTATATTTGTATATCTTTACGAACTGGCGACGTTTTCATTCATTCAAGTCTTTGTACAAACGTTGCAAAAAAACAAAAATAAAATGTTGCATGAAACCGCTTTACTGGACCCACATGTCTTACCAGCAAATAAACACATTTTACAGTTAAATACTAGGGCGTCAATTTTCCTGTCGTCTTTAATAAACCTGATGGATTGCTAAATATATATATATATATATATATATATATATATATATATATATATATATATATATATATATATATATATATATATACATATATAATATATAATACACACACATATATTTTACACACACACACACACACACACACACATATATATATATATATATATATAAATATATAAATAGATATTAAATCCAGTAGAAAAATAATTTTTCTGTTGATGGCGTTTGCCATGATTCTATGTAGATTCTAGACTTCGACTGTATTCTTTTAATTTGGTCAGAAAGGAAATTTGTAAAACATTTTTATTTCCAAAATAAGACAAGATGTTTAGACAAAAAAACAAAATGCCATTTTTTTTCTGTTTATTTATTCATTTATTTTTGCATGAAATATTTTTTTTTTAATTTTTATATAGATCCTTTTTAACAATAAATACATTATGACTGAAAATAGCCTCTATGTTGATGGAAACCCGTCTGTATGTTCACTTTTATATTTATATATATATATATATATAGATATATCTCTGATATTGAGCACTTTATTCCATAAATATAGCACTATCCAACCAAATTAAGACTATATTTATATATATATATATATATATATATATATATATATATATATATATATATATATATATATAAGAAAGGCTATAGTGGTTCCAACGAGAGAAAAGTGTGTATATATAAAAAGAAGAGAAGAGAGGTGCACTAAAATATAGCGTTTTACAAACTCTTTTATTCTACATTCAACACTTTTTTAAGACACCAGAAGTGAAACAAATGACTATTTTGTTTTTTTTTTTTAAAAATATTATCTGTATTGATTGAGCACTCTATTAAGAATAGTATTTTGGGTTATTGGAATTTATTCCGTATGCACCAATCCTATACTTATATATATATATATATATATATATATATATATATATATATATATATATATATCTGGTTCAGCATCAGGTTGCATTATATCCACTATTATCAGCAGCCATTTAGTGATTATATATATATAGGAGAATATATATATATATATATATATATATATATATATATATATATATATCAGACAATGTTAGGCAAATGAATAACAAAGTGGAAAATCAAATTATATTTAAGGCGTTTTGTCTTTTAAGACGACTTCATCTGACGTTCATCAACGTTCTTATTGAGAGGGAGATATAAACATTAGTTATAGCCATGACGCAAGAGAAAAAGTTTTAGCCTCCGAAGTGTCTAGACGCACAGCGCAGCCGATTCGATTTCAATTTCCCAACGTTTTTGGGTTTTATTTTTATAATTGTTTTTTTTTGTTTTTTTTTAAATATTCCACATTCCACTCCAAGTAAGGCAATAAAGCCACTGAGACGCAAAGGGAGGTTCCAAAGTGTGAGAAAATATGAGCAAAAGAAGCATTAAAAATCAAGAACAATAAAAGAACGATTGAAATTGCATTTGAATTTTTTTATAATTAAAAATGATTCAGAAATCAGTGTACAATATGTACATTTTCGCCTTGATAAAATTAATTTTAATTAAACGAAAAAGTAATTTATTTAATTAGAAATATCTTAAAATACGAAAGAGTAAATTAATTCAATAAAATCGCCATTGGTTTCAACTACGGCCTCCAGACAACTGCCTCTCTTCAGAACGTCGCCACGATTAGCGATCACTCCAAACACCTTCGTAATCACAATTAGAGACCCAACTCTTTGCTAATCCTTTGCACTGTCCTCAGATTGACACCCAAACACTCGGAAATTAATGTCAAGCAGTACATCATGTCGTTTCCAATTGGAATGAATTGAATTATGGTGCTCTTTTCTCCCAGACGATGTCCAACTAACACTATTAAATTGTGCAGTCGACAATTAAAAAATAAACAATGCGCATGCGCGAAATTAAAAATATGAAATAACGACAATTTACCCATCTCACACACACACACACACTCTTTCTCTCTCCCTATATATATATATGTGTGTGTGTGTGTGTGTGTGTGTGTGTGAAAAGTGTGTGTATATAAATATATATATATATGTGTGTGTGTGTGTGTATATATATAAAAAAAAAAGAACAGTAAGATATATAATAGATAATTTTATTTTTACAAAATAGTGCTCAATGTAAATTTACAGAGCATTAATATTATAAATTAATTGATTTAAAAATTAATATTATAAATTAATTGATATTATAAATTAATTGATTTAAATCTAATATTATAA